TGTTTAGTTGCAACTCGGAGATTTGTCTCATGCGCTCTTGTGGATAAGTTTAGAGATTAGTTCTGGTGTGTGTGTGTATTTGCCCTTGGCTCCACCCTTGACTATAATTAGCATTGTATTCACACTCTCCCAACAGGATGATTCCATTGAGATATTTTTGTCGAGCCCTCTATGGTATTATATCCAAAGAATGAGTGCCATAGAAATATCTCGAATTGTCTCATCGAGATATTTACAATGGTCCAACTAAAAAATTATGCAAATTATCTATAGTTTGAGCTCATAACTCCAACATAAAATAACATTTCTTTGGTCAAATAATATTTCGATAACCTAATGGAAAAATACTTTATATAGAAGTATATGATGTAGTAGTGGCCGTGATATATATATACTACACGAAATTTCACTTTAGCGACGATAACTTTTGTCTTGAAAAGTCTCCTCACAATCATACGCCGATAAAAGTGAAATATCTCGTCACAAATCTCAAATATTTGGTTGATTTTATACATTTACAGGTGCTGAGTAATGCAAATTACAGAAGTGTGGAGCACAGAGTGATAGTAAATGCAGAGAAAGAGAGGGTTTCACTTGCATTTTTTTACAATCCAAGAGGTGACATACCCATAAAACCTGCAGAGGAGCTCATCACAGAGGATCATCCCCCACTCTATCCATGCATGACTTTTGATGAATACAGACTCTACATCAGGACAAGGGGCCGTTGTGGAAAGGCTCAAGTTGAATCCCTAAAATCCCCACACTGATATATAAATATATATGCTCTATATATATTTAACTTCTTCTTGTCTTTAATTTCTAATAGTTATGTATGTTTTCAGTGGAATATATTTTGTTTTCAATAAATTTTAGCTCACACTCAATTCCTTTATAAAAAAAAAGGTAAGGTGTTCTAGTCCTTCTTTGCCCTTATGTTTTCAGTGGAATATATTTGGAGCATTTTGTGCTAAGTTTTTAATTTTCTATAGATTAAATGCAATAATGAAACTAGAGAATTATGATTATTTTTAATTTGCCATAAAGAATAAATTAACTTTTGTATGGAGGACCATTTAACCATTTTTGACAAAGTGGAGATGAAAGATAGACTTTGTTAGAGGAATTTTCAAAATAGAGAGAGAACATAATGGAAAATACAAGATTTCATTCAATTTAAATAATATATAGGTAGGGAATTAAGTTTCATCTAAAAGATTAACATATTAGGTAGAGTGCTTTAATTCCTTATAAGTATATGTATGATTTTGTTCAAACTCTTTCATCGCGAGAAGGGTCACTTAATTGGTATAACAGCCTTGAAAGTCAACCGTTGGATTTTTTCGGCTATCACAATCTAACTCAGAGCCAATCACCTTTGTTTAGTATTGCAACTCGAGATTCGTCTCGTGCGTTCTCGTGGATAAGTTCGGAGAATTGAGGCCTCATCTCAAAATTTTAACCTATTAGATAAAGTAGATTCATCATTTATAGTCAATTGAATACCATATGTAGGTGGAGGGAGGCTCATACCTGCCCCAAAGGGCCAAGTCCATTAATTTGTTATAAAGTAGTAAATTTTTTTATATATTAATTTTTTTTATTATTTTTTTTTTTGCCGTTGGCTCCACCCTTTGACTATGATTAGGATTGTGTTCACACTCTCCCAACAAAATGATCCAGCATCGTATTAAATATTGATATGGTAAATGGCCTAAATGCAGGTGTGGACGGTGCAAAGCACTGTCCATCCCAAACTTGGGTGTGTTTCACTATGTTACAACTAATTAATAACGAAATTACTTTTATGAAAAAAAAAATGTGTGATATGATATATTCCCTCTCAAAACTAGGAAGAACACAGAGTGGAGAAGTTCTTGAATAATTTACGTCACTTATATTTCTATTATAACAAAAATATTTTTGATTAATGTGGAAAGGGCAAAACTTATTACATAATTGACTCAAAATTTATTATAAATTGGAGCGTATTACGCGTTCTTTTCACTTCGAACGTAGTTCACTACTTAGAAATGTTACCTAAAATTCCTCGACGGAGTACTAAGTGTCTCTCTTTCTTTCACAATGCTCTTCAAGGATTTAAACGCATTTTCTTCTCGAAACGAGTATGTTGGAACAAACTAAATTGAAAATAATTAAGAAAGAGAAACATACGATGTGTCATTCAATGATGCAACTCTTCTCTTGTCGAATGAACTTGTTACATTATATGATTTGAAAACAATTAAAGAAGACAGACATGTTAAACCTTGGACCTGTTTGGCATTACTTTTCAGAAGTCAAATGGAGTTTTTGAAACCCAAAAAATTACTTTTTTAACCTGTTTTTGTTAATTTTGTAAAAATGTTAATTTCTTTTACTTAGAAAAACTTTAACTTTCTCTAAAAGGTCTTTCAAAATAGAAAGGTTTTTTTAAAAATTAATTTTCAAACGTCAATTATGATAGCTTTCTCGCAAAGCCCTGCCAAACGGCTCTTTATACAATCTTGTGACTCTTTCTTGTAGAATTGAGTATAATACAATATATTGACATATTTTGTATATTGAAATAGACAAGTTGTGAATTGATTACCAAGAGAAACATGTATTTTTTTTGTAATTATTATTATTATTATACGTTTGATTGTCTATCAGTCCATGAAATAAGCTACACACAACCTATGGAAGTTTTGAAATATATAAACTTTAATTTAGAAATTATTGAGGATTTTATGGCTGTTTGCAAGTCGAATTATTGGAAAAATTAGGTTCGTTTATGAGATGAAAAGGAATATATATTAAAAAATTACATTTTTTTCATTGCTGCAACCAATGATTAACACTTTAGAATTGACTAATGTAAACCCAATAATTGTCTAGCACTTAAATCGCACGTTTTATAAGTTGCGTTTATGCGAGTAGACAGTCTACTTTTCTCCAATAAAATAAATTATATCGTTTATAACAAGGCAAATTTATGCAGGTACATCACATTTATAAAGAAAGTGACACAATACAATTATTATATATGCAATAAATTTACAATTTGGTTTCCGTCACTATATTTGTGCTCTTTGGATAAAATCGGCTAAATTTTATCTCGAACAAAATGATAATCTAATTCAATATATTTGATTTTCTTAGATCGATAAATACGATTGACTGCAATATAAAGTGCCACCTTTGCAGTTTTAACTCTGAAGATATCTAGTATGGAGAGATTGAACCCAAATCTTCAATAAAAAAAAATTAACTCTTCTAAATAATTCAATTGATACTTAAAAAATACATTAACCAATTAAGCCCCTGATTGATTTTCTTTAAACTAAAACTCTTTATTTTTCATACTCAATTTCTACCATACATTCACATAATAAAATATTGAAAAAATTGCAGTAACAGTCCCTAACCTTTTCAACTTTTGTAGACTTTACTCTAACTTTCAATTTGTGTCAACGAAGGTACCTAACCTTTCAAAAATATGCGTCTGGAGTCCACATGAATGGAATCCATCCGTTTTTCTGTTAGTTGACCAAAAAATGATTTTGACCATATTATTAATTATTTCTATAAGCGTAAAATGATAACTTTATATCTTTTATATAAAATAATTAAATAAAAAACTAAAAATAAAGAATAAAAAAGGAAAAAGAACTCGAAACTTCTTCCCCAACTCACTTCTACCAACCACTACCACCAGCGCCACCTCGTCGAAAATCGTAGCATTGTTTAAAAACAATCTTGATGACCCACTTGGCGTAATGGATGAATGGAATGCTTCGACCCTTGTGCGCCGTGTGAATGGTGGGGTAGAGTTCGTGTTTTCAAGGTAGCCAAATCCCATATCGAATAAAAATAAAAATATAGACCAATTTATAAGGATTTTGGCTACGCATCTTAATAAAGCTGATCTTTTAATATGGAATTACAAGTTTTAACGTGGTATCAGAGTCCATTAAACTTTAACGAACAATTTTGATCTAATTAAGACTCAAAAAGTAAGTACACGAATTTTAATATTAGAATGCTCAAACGAGTCACCATATTGAGAGGACATGTTAAAAAATAAAATTTTACATTGAATAAAGATGAAAATATATATCAATTTATAAGGGTTTGAACTACCCCTCTTAATAAGGTTGACTTTTTAATATGAAATCTCAAATCTTAATAAGGTATCAGAGCCCATTAAACTCCAAGGAGCAAGTCGATCAAATTAAGACTCAAAAAATGAGCACACGAATTTCAAGATTGATATGCACAAATAAACTACTATCTTGCAGGGCATGCTAATGAATAGAATCTCACATCGGATAAAGATAAAAACATGCACGAAATTTTCAAATAGACTTTTACATAATTTTCAGTTTATAGCTTTACACATAAATTCTCTTTGATTATGAGAAATATATAGTATCTATATGCACATCAATTTAATTAGAATGTCCAAATTATTTTTATTCAATTTAAATTATTGAACAAGTATCTATGTATTAAAAACATCACATTTTAGTATTTTACAACAATTTATCACGCTTTTTCCAGAAAAAGAAAATGCTTAGAAATGTCATATTCATAATTGGCATACAAACAAATTGGACTGAAAAAACTTTCTTTCATAAGTCTATCAAAGATCACTCAAAGTGGTTGTTTTAAGTATTTAAGTTCGATTATAAATAAAGGAAGAACACAAGATGACGTAATACGTATAATTTTGAAAAGTTCTTTAATTATTCAAAATTGTACAAACCATAAAGAATTCTCCATCTCGATGATTAAGTACAAACCAAATATGATCTAAGATACATAAAGATCTCGATTATTCAAGATTGTATAAACCACATATCATCCCGTCTTCATGATAAAATACAAATCGAACATGAACTAGATGGGTAGATTATCGCTCGAAGTCTATAACGTAGTATGGTCGATATTATTCAGAAAATACTATAATCTGACCATCATAACAGTGCCAATATTAGTTTGCTGCAACATTTGACCTAATTGAGAGGGTTGTATAAAGAAAATGGCAGCAATGGGGACTGCAAGGTGCCAACACTCCATGGACAAAACCCTATTTCATCATTTGCTGCAAATGGATTTCCTTCAAGAGGAAACACATTAAAATTTGGTAGAATTTCTTCATGGACTTTGAACATTTTTGTTGCTCGAAATTCGTCTTGGAATCCCTTTGTTTCAACTTCATAATCAGACTCAAATTCCTTTTCATTTGATTGATCAGATTCTTCACTTAGAGAAGGCAGTGATAGTACAGGAGAAGAATGAGGCTTGTTTGGCTTAGTACTAGGTACCCCGTTCTTGTATTCCTCGAAAATAAGGTCCATAAATCTTCTTTGTGCTTCAATCTTCATTTTCAAGCTCTTTTGAATCTATAGAAAAATGAGTTTATGTACATAATTTTCTTGTTATGGGAATCTTGTTGGTGAAATAAAGGTATTCTTATGCAAATTCACTTAAGCTGCACAACGTCTTAGTTGAATTGGTTCGTCTTGAACCAGACAATTGACGAGATTTCGTTATGCTGATTCTATGATTTTTCTTTCGTGCTGAGCAATTGAATCTCCTTAAAGAGAGACTTAATTGCTTACAAGTGAATGAATTTTGATATTGATTTTGTAAAGTATATGTACCTCAATTTGATCGTTCCATCGTCTATGTGCTTCCATTTGCATTTTTAGTGCTTCATTTAGCTGAGCAGCTCTACATCAACATCGATATACATATATTACTAATGACATGGGGAAGTTGAAGAAGCAAATATTGAAAAATCTTTATATTAACAAACAAGAAACTCACGATTTCATGCTGAAATCTGACAATTCTTCTGATATATTTCTTCGTTCAATTTTGTCTTCTGCGTGTCACGAGATATATAATTTTATATTTAAACAATGAGAAATTTGGGAAAACAAGAATTAGAAAATAATCAAGTCGACTCACTGTGACCACCTTCTGGAGTAAATATTGACATCCTGTATTTCTGTAAAAGATGGATTACTCATATTATAGTATGTTATATTTCAAGGAAATATTATATATTTATTAAAAAATGAAAAAATAAATGATACTTGATTCAAATGTTTGTCGATTGAAGCAAAAGTAAGTGAGTTAAGTTTAAAATATTGTGAGACGGTTCGATTTTTATCTAAAACTATTATCACGTGAAAACAATCCCACATGGTATGTTGATATCGGCATTCATAAATAACGTTTGGTTCGGTATTTTTTGGATAATATTATAGTTTAATATGTGTACAAAACAACTAAAAACTAAGTCATAATCCCAATAAGTTTTAAAGTTTTTTTTTCCTTTATATAACCGTGGATGTCCGATCCAGCTTGCGCGCACCTCGACTAATCCTACAGGACCCTGAAATTTACGATCAGGTACTCACCTCAATGGTCCTGAGGAGACTTGAACTGGTGACCGCCAATAAGTTTAGAGTTAGTTTTGTGAATCCTTCTTGGTCACTTCCAATTGCTGCATCTATGGGAAGAGTATACTATATGCAGACACGAGTGGTAGATTACGTGAAGACTAATCATACTATCCCTCAACCTTGATCGACCGTCACGGTAAAGTTGACGGAAGATTGGATCACCTTAATATTCACACTATATAACCGATCCGGTAGGGAGCCATTTTTTGTATACAAGAGACGCGTGAAGAAAAATAATTGTATTCTTCTTCGTTATCGTGAAAATCTGTAACAAGAAGTGAACATGACTCTTAAATTGAGGCTGAACCCGAACCACCGTAATTTTGTGCTTTTGCTCCTTTTTTTTTATTGCTTTTCTAATTATTGTGGCTCTCAAAACTAGAGATGAAGAGTTTAATCCATTAAAAGTTGGATAATGCATGTTTGAGAGAGAGAGAGAGAGAGAACCTGTAAGTGGCTTTTCACATGATATATAGTTAGTCCAGGAATTGCCATTGCTTTCAGAATTCCTTTTGGTGTAGCCCCTGGATGATCATAAGGTGCACATAGAAATTTATTCACAAAACCAATGAATGCACATTAACTTGGACATAATTTTCGATAATCTCACGTACTATCTGGTCCACCGATCTGATTAACTGCTTTCTCGAACAATTCATGCAATTCGTTCGTCCATTTTAACCGCTCTTTCAACGCGCCAGTCGACCGACTGGAGCCCATGTTGCAACCAGGTGACCTTGCAAACCTGTCAGGCAAGGAATGAGAAATAGTGCTCCACTTAAAAAGAATATATTCAGATAAAAACAACACTGCAGAAACAAATTTCCAGGAAAGATATTAGCAGGCGATAGCACTAAGATAAGATGATATGTGCAGAGATACCATGAAATGTCTGCAACTGACGGATCAAACCAAGAAAAAAGAGTCCAAAATTCCCAAATTTCAAGCTCATTCTCTTGTTTGTATCACCTGGTGAAAAAACCTAAAAATTACAAACAGGAACTTGTTTCAAAATGTCGGACAGATTCGTAATTTTGTTGCTTGCACAGTATGAAAATCTTCGATAAAAACAAATATACAAGACACAGGAGAGAATGGGACTAGGCATTTGTCACTTCTCTGCCTGAGTCATGAGAAATTTCTCTTCATTTCGACCCAAGAAAACATGACTTGCAAACGATATACTATTTAGAACGTGTCAAGAAATCAAAGATTCTTTTATATTAGCTTTAATAGCATAGGAATAAAGCACAAAATTGAGGAGTTGAACTCTGTCCCTACTGCAATCAACTGTTATAAACATCGCAAGAGATGTCAATTACAAATAGTAGAAAGGCAATATTGCTATATAAATTTGTCAACCACCAAATTAACACTACAACTCCTCAGTTGATTTAGTAACCAATCACTACTGCCTGTTTCGCTTCGTGCAAGAAGGACATTTGTATTGCTTTATATTCTCGGCTTTAGCAGGAGTTATCTTCACACATTTGCCATGAAACCACTGTTCACAAATGTCACAGCCAATCCAGAACTCGTCTGCATCGTAATTTCCACCACAGCTTCCACATAGTGTTTCGCTATGTTCATCGTCCTCCTCCTCATAGCTTTCATCTGCCAGTTTGGGGTTGCTCTTCATCTGACCATCACTAGATCGCTGCAAGGAATCGAGCTAAATCAATTGCAGGTCTAAGAGCAATCAAACATAGTGATCATGGGGAAGCTCAAAAGCTAAATGAAATCCTTGGAAGAGGTCAGGGTGCGAAAAATACACTGCTTCAGCCAAAACTATGTTTTAACAAGAATCGGTACCAAAATCTTCTTGTGAAATTTAAATTAATTTCACCTGTGCCTTCACCTAACCTTAGGTTTGCCTCAGGAACAAAAAGAATAGAATCTAGAAAAATTATATCTATAGTTAGACATATATGTTTGAGCCAACCCTACCTTCTTGTTGCCTCTGGATCTGCTTCCGCTATCTGCGGTTGCCTTGTCTTTTACTGGCTTCCTTTCAGTCACAACTTCAAAGACTGTGGGCAGATCATTGATCAAGCTGAACAGGCGTTTCCTGCAAGAACAGAAAGAAATATATATATATAGATCCTTATAATAAATCACAGGCCAAAAGTGTGGTTCCTTGTCTGAAAATGCACATCCCAAAAAGAAAATCTATAGAAACATTTAACCACAATTGATGCCAGTAATTCATCTGTAATCAGAAGTTAGCAGTCCTAAATGAAAGCAAAAACTAGCAAAAAACTGCAAACGGGAATCCACACTGACACCAAATATCAATACTTTAGAATGCTCGTCTTTACTTGTCTCCTGGCTACACGTCATGTGATATGCACCGGAGCAAGGAGGTAAAATAATTTTCTCGAAGTCATTTCAATGTGTTCAAGTTCCTACATACATCCCCCAAACTGTAATTCAGGGACTGGTCCCAGTATATATGTACTGCTACAAAGTCAATTAGTTCAACTGCAAAAAGCAAAAGATACAGATAGTGCCATCAAAATCATGAGCCCGAAACACTTTTGAAGCTTGTGGTCGGAGTAAGATAGAAAATTATTGGTATGTTATGGAACAAATTAGATACGAAGCATTCCTGGACGACATCAGACATTCATAAATGAAGGAGAATTTGAAGCTGTGCCATTGCTACTTTCAAGGTTCTTTTAACAGACTTTTGAAGCTTGTGGTCAGAGTAAGAAAGAAAATTATTGGTATGTTATGGAGCAAATTAGATAGGAAGCATTCCTGAATGACATCAGACATGCATAAATGAAGGAGAATTTGAAGCGGTGTCATTGCTACTTTCAAGGTAATAACGCATTCATGTATCTTTTCCTCATTAGAAGTTGTATTTCTGCCACTACAAGTGACCTTCTACCACATGTTTAGACAAAGTATAAACCAATAGAAGGTGAATGGAATACAGTAAATCAAAGATTTTGATGAGTTTGAGCTGGATACAAGTTAAAATTGATCTCTCCAAAGACTTGACTCACTCCATTGTCACATCCGATAAAGTTCACTTACCCAGGACCAAAAAATTATCAATGTGAGGAAGAGTTTCAAATTCCTTTATCCGACATAAAAAACTAGCAATGATTGAATTTTAAAGTCAGCCAAATGCAGATATATGTCGATCAATCGAGAGCTACTTGCCCTATATTGTAATAACAATGTCCAATCATGGTCCAATAGAGTGAGAAATACTAAGATGAGAGAAACTTAAGAATTTATAAAGTTTTGAACTTTGTTTGAGAATTAATAATGAGGTTTTCTTTAGCAGAATCAGTCAAGATTGGAATGCAACAAAGGTAGTTTGTAAATCTGAGTGATAAACACTGCACCGAAAGATTTGCATGTACGATTAGCATTTCACATTTCTTAAAGTTCATCTATCACTAGAATATGTTTCTAAATCTCTTGGTCATTATATAAGTAGACACGTCACCAGCACTTTATTTGCCTCCATAGTTTTCATGACGGTACTTAAACCCTGACCTTAGTTTCTGCACAAGACAGTCCAAATTGGTTTCTTTATTATGTTACAACCATGTCATAGACTACTTAAATCATTTGTATCCTTTGGAGTTTTAGTCCACAAGAACAAGCAATATATGTAGCATCATAGAGATCCCTAGAAATCTTCATATAAATCAACGACCAAAACTATTTTAAGCAGTCACAGAGCAGACAATATCTATTCATCCCGACTTAGCATCACCACCTCCTATGTTATCAACTTTTTTTCAATTAAAAAAAAAAGCTCTTATTCTCTCCATATGAGCTTTCTAATATCTAGGGACTGGTGAAACTTGCACAAGGCTAGTCGGCAGCATCCTCACCATCAAATGGTATGCAGAGATGTAACTTATGCGCATTGTCAGACAAATCAATGCGTTGAAAGATATTAAAACAGGAAAAAGAGGATAACTATTTGAGGTCCTGAATATTCATAGATCGCTACAATTTTTTACAGAATTCAACTTCAAATAGAATGTTCTTTATCTTGTATGTCACAGACATCATGCAGAATACAAAAAATATGTGTAGTCGGAAGTAAAAGGAAAAAGTATGATATCAACTGTCCGTGCATGCTAGGCAAACTGGATTGCAAGTAATTAATTAAACAAGTCACCTCATATTAGTATCATCACGCTCAAGCATCTAACAGGCGAAAGTGACAATATAGTTATCTTGGGTGAGCTTGGAGAAAATTCCAATGAACAAGCTTAATTAACAACAAACCAAATGTGTGGTTTGATTCAGGCTCCAAAATCTTACTGCCAATTTTCCAGTTGGGTGTTATTTGCAATATTACAGAATTAGGCGTGAGCAGTCAAAGGGCAACAAGAAAACCTAAAGTAAACACAGAAACGTTCTATACTTTAGCTAATTAATGTTTAATATTACTATGTAAATCAAATTTACTATTTTAAAATTTTGAGATTTTAGAACTTTATTAATTTAATATTGTTCGATTAATCAGACATAATTTTTTCTTGATCTTTTCACTGACCTATTTGATGAACCAAGAAAAACAAAACTGACGAAACACATCCATGGTTCTCTCAGTTCAATGCTGTTTCTAAAAGGTGTGGAGCCTAATCAGTCTTGAAAACGACTCGGAGTTGCTCAAGGAATTTTATAGTTCACATAAATAATCTAGAATTCATGAACAAGAAAGCTAATCATCATCCACAGATAAAAAAAAAAAAAACCAATTTCATTTGGGTTTCGAGTAGCCTGGAAATATCATGCACCTTTCATTTCGGTTGAGCCGGGCTCCAAGATAGAAAGCCACGGAGAGCAACCAGCAATCACTGTGCACGGAAATTAGTGAAAGCCAATCTTTGCGGGTCATTCCATCCCTAGCAAAATTGATCCCAAGTGCTGGCTCTGGTAGCTCAGGTGGGACTTCTTCAGCTGGTAGGTTTACTTCCCAAGTTTCATTTGAATATCCATACAGACACAAGTTCTCCTTTTCTATAAAATTGGTAATCCCAAAACCAAAAATGAATATCTAGAGAAATTAAAAACCAAAAATCATGAACAATTGAAGGAACTGAACCGACTTGAGGACTATATGCTGAAAAGAGTACTTGATCAACTAAACAGACAGATCTTCACTCCGTCTGTTTTTTATAGTATAACAAGAAGATAAACCAATAGTTAAACTTACCATTCGTATTCCAATGCTTAAGAAACTGAGTAACTAACATAATCAAATTTAGCATAAAAAATGCAAAACAGAAAACTCCTGTCCCACCTCAAGTAAAGAGTAAAAATAATAGTTACAACGGCCAAATTTAGGTAAATCCATTTCCGCAGTATACATTCCAAGCAGAAAATACTTTCTTCGTGGAATACAAATAACTACAGGAAAATGGGGGAAAAAGGAAATAATATTTCTGCGCAATTCTTTTCACTGCATTAAAAAAAACGCAAATTGTTCAAAAAAGGAGGGATATCATCAATTGCCCGATTCCAGAAGGAAGCTATTGTTAAAGCTATAAAATTTCTATAATTAACTTTCAATATTAACAAAAGGCAGCTCAATTAACCTTCAAATTTCAAAATAAACAAAATCCATAATCAAACAAAAATCCCCAAAATTCACAATTTTCACTATCTCTTAACAATCATTATCGAACTCAAAAGGTCAATTTTGATGTACATGAAATAAAAAATTCACATATATAAAAATGAAAGAAAAAAAAAATTAAATCTGAAGTTAAAAAAATAAATTAAATTACCTGGATCACAGAGACGGTAAAATTCATCCACATCTGTAAAAACCAAAAAGAAAAAAACATTCCATACTAAGTTACATATTTACAAAAAAATAATTTCCCATGTTCTTGTAAGTATGTATTCAAATATACAGAGTACCGCAAGTTAAAGCACGAATAATTCCCCCACGACGAGCGCTGTAATCTTTGAAGATCTCCTCTACAGTCCGGGGGCTTGAAGAAACTGAAGCCATTTCAGTATACAAAGTATGGGATCTAAAATCTATTGAGTAATTATTAACAGTTTATTCCATAGATTGAAAGAATTGTATGAAGTGGAAATGCAGAGAGAAAGGAAGAGGGTTGAGTGTGCATGTAACGAGAGAATCAAAAATCAGAAAAAAATCGCAGTGGTCAATAGTTTTTCACTTGATATCCAACTTTCAAATTTGTGACACTTTGGTCCTTCAAAAATTATTTGAGATGTAAAATTAAAATAGATAAGTGATTTCAAACGATAAAATAAATATGAGAGAAAAGATGAAGGAAGAAGAACAAAAAGCATAAATCTAAATCAGTGTCTCGATATAACGATATCCATTACTTTTATCGTACTTCACCATCATTTTTTGTTGACTCTTTTTTCACAATTTCACTATTGCTAACATCTCATCTATCAATTTCAATTTCGTAATAGATTCTCTTTTACATATTTTTTCTACCTTAGCACGGGATGACACTTGAAAATAGGTACAGATGGAAAAAAGGAGACAACATGAAGATGGACGAGAGGGAGGGTCGGAAGTTTTTTTTTTCCAAATTTTTATATAAATTTTGTTTTAATCGAAATAAGGATAATTAGGTTGCTTATTCAAGTATAGAGAGAAAAAGGCGCTACAAAAAGTTGTATACCAATGTGCCAAGAAAACTCTAGGCAACCAAATTGATAAAATTTAATGGGTTGGGGAATTCATCGAAATTTTCCTCAAAAGAAAATTAAAAAAAAAAAAAAGAAGTCAAAACCCGTTTGGTGTAGATTAAAATTATACTATAATATTTAAATTTATGATTGAAAAATTTTAGATTTCATAAAATTTATAATTAAAATTAATTTTAGATTTTAATCCAAATCAAGCATGGGCAAAGTTTAAGAAATGCTAAATAGTGTAGTAAACAATATTGTTTACAATAATATCGTGTAATAAATAATATTGTTTAAAATAATATTCTCGATAGTATCTAACACTAACAGCCATTAATGTTTAATAATATAATTTAATTAGGCTAAAAAATCTCATTAAATGGGTCAAGTAAGCCTTGGTGGGGTCCATTTTGGTGTCACGAACTGAACAAGTGGACTCTCGTACAATTTGGCCAGCTAGATGAACACAACCAACTTTTTAAGTCAAAATGTTAGTTGAGATTCATTTAGACCCCCATTTGGCTTACATTCAATTATAAGTCATTTTTACTTTCTTCTTATCAATCACACATTCTCCAATAAAATAATATTACACATAAAATTTAAAAAAAATTCTTTCTTTTTTAACTACACATTCACTAAAAATATTTATTATTTTTTCCTATTTTTTATTTTCACTTGCTTCTATACAAATTATTATATTATTTTTTCATTGAAAATTGAATGCATATAATTGTAAATTGTGAGTCTGACTCTCTAAATTTAAATAGTTAAATTTACTATTTATTTAAAAATATTAATTTAAAGAATCTGTTTGAGCTTAAATGTTAATAGTTGACTCTTTAAAATACAAAGTGGGGTATGATAAAAACCACGCACTACAAAAAATTTTGTATAACAAGTCCATGCATTATATAAATACCCGAAACTCTATCTCAACTTTACTGGCAAGTCCATGCATTATATAAATAATCATGCATAGATTTCGTGGACTATTATTACGCCTTGCCAATGAGGCTAAAATCAAAGTGTTACGTAGCAATCTATGTAGGCAGGAAAGTCAACAAATACCTAACTGAAACAAATGTAAAGAAATCATATGAATGATTGGAACTCTTATGCCGAAGTAGTGCATAAACGGCTAAAGTGTGTGAGTCCAAAGGCTACATAAAGAAATGGAAGAAGTCGAAGCTCTTCACACAGAGGACCAATACAAAGTCTATTCCAACAGAGGCCCTTCGTTCACCCGAAACTCATGAAGTTGAATCTATCTCTTACAAGATCTTTAGACAATCATTATGAATGATTGATGTAACGTTTGTAATAAAGAATGTCATGTGTGTTAGCCTAATGTATAAAGTGGCTGATCCGTTATCAATATATTTATTGTACGATAGACAGTTATGTGAAGTCTTAGTCAAGAAGATGAAATCACATGGTTCTGATCCAACGGACACCACGTCGGTCAACACACTATAAATAGACCCTCTTTATAACTGGAAAATGATTCTGGGATTCTTGGACTTTTGACCATTGAGCTCTTGATCCTTAATAATACAAATGGTCTTGAAAACTCTATACATATCATTTTGTTTTTTTCTACATACATTAGTTTGATCTTTAATTGGTTTACTTTGGTATTTGATTGGTTACTGTTGTTAGCGCAATCATTTTTGTTCCATCCGTCGATATTTGAACACTTTTGTTTCGCATCGTGAAATATTCTCCGCGTCTACGTTCATCGCCCTTCTTACCGGTGTTCCAATCAAAAAGCGTCGAAATTTGCTTGAGTTGACGTGAATGGGCTCGACATCTATTGTCCACTTAATCATCACGTTTTTTGAGATCAATAGAAAGCAACTTATATTTAAGAAGTTTCTTGAAAGTGCTCTTAAACATGGTAAAAACATGTGTTTATCGAAAAACTCCAAAACAATTGGTTAAGGAAGCAGATAGTGAGAGACAAAGAGATGGCAATTCAACTAAACTTGAGACGTCAACCTTAAACTATGCTAAATAACCTCAAACATTTTGTTCCATCGTCCCTACTCGTTCAACATTGTTAAGAGTGAACGCAATTTCTGGGAAAACCTAAGAATTGCTACAATTCGGAACAGTCCAGGCCATATTACCAAAACGATTTGGCCTCAGTGAGTTGGAGAAAGTATGTGTTGTCATTAGTGTTCTAAAAACGTAAAGCGTGACTAGACGTGGAGATCTAGTTTCAAAATTTACAAGTCTAGGCGAGACCTAGACGCTAAAAACCGTTACTTATTTTTATTATTATTTTAAATAATTAATCATTTTAAAAATTATTTAATAATTAAAATAATACATACCAAACATTTAAAATTATAAAATACTACATTTACTAATATTTCATACAATTAATCAATTTTCAAGTTTTCGAATGCAAAAGTTAAATTATTTTTCATAATTTTAAATTTCAACTAAACAAGTTCTACTTGATAAATTTATAGGAACTTCATATACATTTTCTAAGTTTCCAATATAATGATAAGTCTCAAAATCATAATTACATAATATAGATAGTAACGTAATTTAAATCTTAGATAAATCTTTATTGAATAAAATTATTTTTGACTTTGTACAAATAAAGCCGTTTAAAAACTTAAAATTAAATTCAAATAAAATGTTTTAAAAAAAAATTAATATGACGTACCTAGGCACATCTAGGAGTGCATTAAGCGAACCGCTGAATTCGCGATTTACTGCCAAAGCAAAACATCTTGCTCGCGTCTCTTGCCGGTCATGCCTTTTAGAGTACTGATATCGGATTTTTTGCTTCGAGCGAGACTTACCTCCTCAAGCCCCCTATCCTTCCTCGAGAAATTGTGAAATTTGTAAACCAACAATGTCTGGTTTATTGTTGGGGGAGTTTGAGATAAAGAAATGAGCTTAAATACACTTTTTTTGATCTCAATACTTTAAATAATATTACACGTAAACCAAAATATTTTCATTATTTTTTGACCACGCATTCTCTAAAATACAACTATTGAAAAAATGCATTTTTTTTTTCTTCAAAATGTAATTTCAAATGGACACCAAACATATTTTTAATTTGTTATGTCGTAATCATTTATTTATCTAGCTACTTTGGAAATATTTATATTTTAATGGATCTAAAAATAAAAAGAATAGTGTGATGACAACTAATTCACATAGTCGACTCTATATTAACAGAGAACAAGGTGTAATTTGTTCTCTTAATGCCGAGTAAGGTAATTTTATGAAAGTCTCTCTTATCTTATCGAGTATTGCGCGCCAAAAAAATGCATTTATGCATAGATTGGTTAGCAAAAGAAATTTTAGTAGCATAAAGCAAAAGAAGATTATTGGGAATGTGAACTCACCTATGCTACTTTAGCTTGAAGATATGGAGTCAGATAGTCTTCAGGTATTTTAATTAAGGAATATTCAGATGTTACAAAAGTCTTTAATTGACCTCAAACATCTGATGAGGGCAACTGGATTTGTTAGGGTCCTGCCTATGAAGAACTATTTATTGAAATTATTTTTAAAAAATGTAAAAATAAGTAAAAATAAAATGGATAATTTACCCTACCACAACAAGAGAGTTTATTTATCGAGTTCATAATTTGTGCAAATTTTAAGCGGTTAGATACGAAATTGTTTTTGTTGCAATCCCCAAACTTTTACAAATAAAGTACACAAGTGGATCCTAATCAATTTTTTATGAGGCCTACTACAAGTACAGGCTACTGTTTCACAGGTGGCTACCAGGTCAGACACATGGGGCGAGGGCCACAATTTTTTTTTTTTTAATACATTGGGGTGGGGTCGGCGCTACAGTGAGAGGTCTTGTAAGACCCCTGTGAAAGAGCCCCTGTACTTGGGAAATTACTCATTTTTTATTGTCCTTTTTAAGTTTCCAGACTTTCATTTCGGATGCACGTTGTACTTACAAGGTGGAAGCTTTCAATTCTATGCTAATCAATAACATACTTTGCATATGATAAATTTGAGGCCTTCCAGTCTTTTCTTTCCATTTTTATTGTTTTTTTAAGAAAATAGAGTGCTACAAATAAGTTATTGCTTGCAAAATGTGTCTTATGCGCTTGGAGAAGATGGTCTAGCAAGAGGAGTTAAATGGTGAATCGAGAAACTAAGCCTTGCAAGCATGAGGCTTCCATGAGAACAATTTTACTAAGGGAAATTATAAAAAATTAGGTGTTTAAAGATTGCTTTTTAAAAATTAGATGCAAAATTTATTTATTCAAAAATCAGTAATTATTAAAACCCTAGCACTAATCCCAAACAAAACCTAAATCATTTTTCTTCTATTCC